ACACAGCTGGAGGAGGAAAGGTAACAAAATATAGCAGCTCACTCATGGACATTCTCTCTTCTGGATCAATGAAGCTCCACCCTACATGTTTCATCATTGTGACATCAGGGACCTAATTTTAAAGGGAGCATACACCCATTGAGGATTCCTGGTGGCGGTCCTGTGTGTGTCTTTCTGGAGTCACTGGTCACAGATAAGTTTGCATGGATCACGAGTGAGCATGAAAGTATATGAATTTTTTTTTATTGATTGGTTGTGTACATCGATCATACTTTTTCACATCGCCCATTCACAAATAATTTCACATGGATTGCAAATGAATATGAATGTTCTTTATTCATTTATGTTTATTGCTAGGTTGTGCATATTGATAGCAATAAAAGCTATATAGAATAAACAGTGTAACGCTGTATCTACAGTATGTATATATGAAAAATGATGTGCTAAAATACTTTAAAATAATACTAAACAACAAATATATATACATACACACACACCAGTATATATATATTATATATATATATACACACACATACTGTACATACATACACAGTATCTCACAGAAGTGAGTACACCCCTCACATTTTTGTAAATATTTTATTCTATCTTTTCATGTGACAACAGTGAAGAAATGCCACTTTGCTACAATGTAAAGTAGTGAGTGTACAGCTTGTATAAGTGTAAATTTGATGACCCTCAAAATAAGTCAGCACACAGCCATTAATGTCTAAACCTCTGGCAACAAAAGAGAGTACACCCCTAAGTGAAAATGTTCAAATTAGGCCCAAAGTGTCAATATTTTGTATGGCCACCATTATTTTCCAGCACTGCCTTAACCCTCTTGGGCATGGAGTTCACCAGAGATTCACAGGATGCCACTGGAGTCCTCTTCCATGGCAGCATCATGGAGCTAGTGGATGTTAGAGACCTTGCACTCCTCCACCTTCTGTTTGAGGATGCCCCACAGATGCTCAGTAGGGTTTAGGTCTGGAGATATGCTTGGCCAGTCCATCACCTTTACCCTTAGCTTTTTTAGCAAGGTAAATGGTCATCTTGAAGGTGTGTTTTGGGGTCGTTCGCATGTTGGAATACTGCCCTGCAGCCCAGTCTCCGATGGTAGGGGCTCATGCTCTGCTTCAGTATGTCACAGCACATGTTGGCACTCATGGTTACCTCAATGAACTGTAGCTCCCCATTGCCGGCAGCACTCATGCAGCCCCAGACCATGATACTTCCGCCACCATGCTTGACTGTAGGCAAGACACACTTGTCTTTGTACTCCTCACCTGGTTGCCACCACACATGCTTGATACCATCTGAACCAAATAAGTTTATCTTGGTCTCATCAGACCACAGGACATGGTTCCACTAATCCATGTCCTTAGTCTGCTTGTCTTTCACAAACTGTTTTCGGGCTTTCTTGTGCATCATCTTTAGAAGAGGCTTCCTTCTGGGATGACAGCCATGCAGACAAATTTGATGCAGTGTGCGACATATGGTCTGAGCACTGACAGGCTGACCCCCCACCCCTTCAACCTCTGCAGCAATGCTGGCAGCACTCATATGTCTATTTCCCAAAGACAACCTCTGGATATGATGCTGAGCACGTGCACTCAACTTCTTTGGTCGACCATGGCGAGGCCTGTTCTGAGTGGAATCTGACCTGTTAAACTGCTGTATGGTCTTGGCCACCATGCTGCAGCTCAGTTTCAGGGTCTTGGCAATCTCCTTGTAGCCTATGCCATCTTTATGAAGAGCAACAATTCTTTTTTCCAGATCCTCAGAGAGTTCTTTGCCATGAGGTGCCATGTTGAACTTCCAGTGACCAGTATGAGAGAGTGAGAGCGATAACACCAAATATAACACACCTGCTCCCCATTCACACCTGAGACCTTGTAACACTAAGGAGTCACATGACACCAGGGAGGGAAAATGGCTAATTGGGCATAATTTGGACATTGTCACTTAGGGGTGTACTCACTTTTGTTGCCAGCAGTTTAGACATTAATGGCTGTGTGTTGAGTTATTTTGAGGGGACAGCAAATTTACAGTTATACAAGCTGTACACTCACTACTGTACATTGTGGCATTTCTTCAGTGTTGTCACCTGAAAAGATAGAATAAAAATATTTACAAAAATGTGAGGGGTGTGTACTCACTTCAGTGAGATGCTGTGTGTTTGTGTATGTATATATATATATATATACACATACATACATACATACATACATACATACATACACGCACACACAATACTATATATTGCCAAAAGTGTTGGGATGCCTGCCTTTACACGCACATGAACTTTAATGTCATGGCAGTCCGTAGGGTTCAATATTGAGTTGGCCCACCTTTTGCAGCTATAACAGCTTCAACTCTTCTGGGAAGGCTGTCCACAAGGTTTAGGAGTGTGTCTATGGAAATGTTTGATCATTCTTCCAAAATCTCATTTGAAAGGTCAGACACTGATGTCAGATGAGAAAGCCTGGCTCACCATCTCCGCTCCATCATGCAAAAGGTTTTCTGTCAGGTTGAGGTCAGGACTCTGTGCAGGCCAGTCAAGTTCCTCCACCCCAAACTCACTCATCCATGTCTTTATGGACCTTGCTTTGTGCACTGGTGCGCAGTCATGCTGGAACAGGAAGGGGCCATCCCCAAACTCCTCCCACAAAGTTGGGAGCATAAAATTGTCTGAAATATCTTGGTATGCGGATGCCTTAAGAGTTCCCTTCACTTGGCTCTGAAAGCGGCCAAGCCCAACCCCTGAAAAACAACTCCACACCATAATCCCCATCCACTAAACTTTACACTTGGCACAATGCAGTCAGGCAAGTACTGTTCTGGCAACCGCCAAACCAGACATGTCCATCGGATTGCCAGACAGAGAATCATGATTCATCACTCCAGAGAACACGTCTCCACTGCTCTAGAGTCCAGTGGCAGCATGCTTTACACCACTGCATCCAATGCTTTGCATTGCACTTGGTGATGTAAGGCTTGGATACAGCTGTTTGGCCATGGAAACCCATTCCATGAAGCGCTCTACGCACTGTTGTTGTGCTAATCTGAAGGCCACATGAAGTTTGTAGGTCTTTAGCTATTGAATCTGCAGACATTTGGCGACTTCTGTGCACTGTGTGCTTTAGCATGCGCTGACCCCGCTCTGTCATTTTACGTGGCCTACCACTTTGTGGCTGAGGTGCTGTTATTCCCAGTTGCTTCCACTTTGTTATAATACCGCTAAGAGTTGACCTTGGAATATTTAGTAGCAAGGAAATTTCACGGATGGACTTATTGCACAGGTGGTAACCTATCATGGTACCACGCTTGGATTCACTGAGCTCCTGAGAGCAACCCATTCTTTCACAAATGTTTGTAGAAGCAGTCTGCATGCCTAGGTGCTTGATTTTATACACCTGTGGCCCTGGAGGTGATTGGAACACCTGAATCCAATGATTTAGAGGGGTGTCCCAATACTTTTGGCTATATATAGATCTGAAAATAAGCGGTCCACCATTCAATAGTGTCTAGTGTCCATTATTCGCTAGTGATAGTGACGTTTTATTATTTCAGTTGCACACTTGTCCTGTGTAAACATTGCTTGCTGTGCATTCATATTCCACCATACACCTTTCACTATGTAATTCACAACACCAGTCTCCAAATGCTCTCACCTTCACAACTTGACCTAAAAGGTAATTCTAGGTCAAAATGTGTCTTGTCCTTTAATGGGGTTCAATATAGCAAAATTTGGTTACCTTCTGCGCAGTCTCCAGGCATATTCAATTTACCTCCATCCTCATTAATCCATGGATAAAATTCCAAACTAGGTGCCAAAAGAATTTAAAGTATTACTAAACCCACAACAGTAAAATCAATCTTTATATGCAGTAAAGCATGCTTGTTATACTCACTGTGGAACCTAAGGGGTTAATCCTCTTCGTGTGTAAAAATGCTGTTTGATGCTGACTTCTCTGATCCTCCCATTCTTCCAGTGTCCCCTCTTATCTCCTGATAAGACATATTGTGTGAAGACACTCTGCACATGCTCAGTTTGGTGTGTATTGCAAGTTTTTTTTTTTTTTCTTGGGAGAGTGCATGTGATCAGCACAGGGCCAATCAGCACTGTCCAGACAGAGGTCAGGGGTTGTGGATCCTCCTACAAGCTGTAACCAGTGCTCTGCTGAACACTGATAGAAGCCACAAGACTGCTCTAACTGTTGATGAGAAAAGGTATTTAGCAGATTATATTTACTAAAATAATTGCATTTCCATGTAGTGTGGGAGACCAGATAGAGTGAATGCAGGGTACTGGGTTTATTAACACTTTAAATAATCATAGTGCTTTCCGTTTCCCCCACTATATTTTATTAAAGTTCAATTAACCACTTGCCCTCCAGAGGATTTACCCCCCCTTCCTGACCAGGGCATTTTTTGCATTACAGCACTGCGTTAATTTAACTGACAATTGCGCGGTCATGCAATGTTGCACCCAAATTAAATTTACGTCCTTTTTTTCCTACGAATAGAGCTTTCTTTCAGTGGTATTTGATTGCATGTGCATTTTTTTATTTTTTGCACTATAAAAAAAGCTCGACAATTTAGAGAAAAAACTATATTTTTTACTTTTTGATATTAAACATGTCCAGTAAAAACATTTTAAAAAATCAAATGTCATAAATTTAGGTCAAAATGTATTCTGCTAAAAAATATCTTTCCTAAAAAAAATCCCAATACGTGTAAATGAATTGGTTTACGTGAAAGTTATAGCGTTTACTAATGGCGGTATATATACTGGAATTTCTTTTTTTGTTACTAGTAATGATGGCGATCAGCGACTTATAGCGGGACTGCGGTGGGCATTCTGACACTGAGGGAAACTGACTTGGTGTCACTGACATCCCCAGTGACACCAATACAGTGATCAGTGCTAATAGAAAGCACTGACACTGTACTAATGGCACTGGGCAGGAAGGGGTTAAAACCTGGGGCAATCAAAGGGTTAACTGTGTGCTTTCAACTGTAAACACACTGCTTTGTATGGCTCTGCTATGCAGAGCCATACAAAGCAGTGTGCAGGAGCTGACAGGGGAGAGAACTGTATTGTTTACATACAGTTCTCTCCCCCGTTGGTAATGCAAGGCGACCACCGGGTGCTGGCAAGATAACAGCCGAGGCCACGAATAGCGGCGCAGGTAGGGAGCACGCCCCTTACTCAGAAATGCAAAATCACATATATACACGTGATTTTGCACACCGCTGCCGTCCTGTAGCAGTATATCTGCTATAGGGGGGCGGAAAAAAAAACAGTTAAAGTGATATTAAAGGCAATATTAAAAAAAACAACAAAACGTCATACTTGCTCTGTGCAGTGGTTTTGCACAGAGTAGCCCCGATCCTCTTCTGGTGTCCCTCGCCGACGTTCCTAGCCCCTTTGTCCTGCCAAGTGATCCCACAGCAAGCAGTTTGCTATGGGGGCACCCGAGAAGGCTAGCTCCCAAGCAGCTGCCCTGTGTATCCATTCACACACAGACCAGGAGTTCGGCCCTGCCCCCTCTCTCCCCTCATTGGCTCACTTGCTGTGATTGACAGCAATGTGAGCTAATGGCTCCTGCTGCTGTCTCAGCCAATGAGGAGGGAGAGTCCCTGGAAAGCTGAGGCTCTCGTGCACATTGCTGGATTGCAAAGGGGCTCAGGTAAATATTAGTAGGGCTACTGCACAGATTTTTTTTTTTTTTTACCTTCATGCATAGCAAGCTGATGAAAGAAGTTTGTTGTTCTTCTGAAAATGCATTCTCTAGAGTCACACACACTCACTTCCTTGGTGGTGTTACCAGGCTGCTCATCCTTTCCAGCGAAGCTTTGGTTTCATTGATCCGCCAATCCTCTGATTCCCTAGTGCACACAGTGGCTGAAGCTCTTGCACTTTTTGCCACGCTCCAGGCTTTGCATCCCATTCTCTAAGGTGCCCATCATCTCTGCACCTCCAGTGGCTGCCTGTCCATTTAGCTCCTAGTGGATCAAGCCATCCATCTGCCTGCGTTTATGGACTTCTGCCATAATGACATGCCTGCAAACACTTCATCCTTGTGAGTGCAATATTATATGATTTTAGTGATTTTTAAAAAAAAAATCGATATCCTGACTATATTGGTTCCTTGGGCACCTCTTCTCTTCCCCATTTATTCACTTCAGTAATACAGGCTGTGTTTCCCTGTAAGAATCAGTTTGTATAATCATTCACAAGACAGCGGCCCACACACAGGTTTGCTGCATGATGTCATTGGCTCCTCCCAATGGGAGGGGTGCAGGGGTGAGAAGTGGTGGAAGAAGGGTGCAGAGGTTATCAGTAGTGGAAGAGGTGTGTCTGAGCAGTGGATGGTGATTTTGGTAGGGTTGCTGTTGGAGGGATAATTTTTCTGGTGAGAGACAAATGAGGAACTTCAGAGGCAAATAGTGGGTGGGGGGTTCAACAGTGCAAATGTGGGCAGTGCAAGTGTGTTAAGTTTCGTTTCAGATAAATTCGTTATATTATCAATTTCGTTTGTGGATTCATTTCGTTTATTCATTTTCTAACGATTCGAATTTGAAACGGTTGAAAATTTATTGACTGATCCAAATTCTATGTGAAGAGTAGCTGGTTGTTAAGGCAAGAACCAGGAAGCTGGCCACCACGTCCTTAACAACCGATGACTCCTCAGCTTTCCCCAATGGCAGCAAAATGTAAAAAAAAGAATTGCTGGCAATGATAAAATAAGAAAAAAAAAACGAAATTTAAAAATGAAATGATGTGGGGGTCCCCCACAAAATCCATGTCAGCCCCTTATCTGAGCATGAAGCCCAGCAGGTCAGGAAAGGGGGGGGGCGAGCACCCTCCCTCCTGAACCATTCCAGGCCACATACCCTCAACATTGGGGGGTGATTTGGGGGTTGGCTCCCCCCAAAGCACCCTGTCCCCATATTGATGGGGACAAGGGTTTTTGCCCCACAATGCTGGACGGTGGCTGGGGGGGGGGTCTGCAGATGGGGGGCTTATCAGGATTTGGAAGTCCCCTTTAAAAAGGGGCCCCCCAGATCCCGGCCACCCCATGGGATTGAGTATTGTGTACATAGTACCGCTACTCATTCACCAAAAAAGTGAGAAAAAATACACCAGTTTTTGTCAAGTCCTTTATTAAAAAATAAATGTCCCCCAATGTAGATCCAATACCAATCACAATAAGTGCCAGCTTCCGAACCTAAAAAAAAAAAAAGAAAAGAAAAAAAAAAGAGAGCTCCACACCAGAAAAAATCTTCCGCAGTCTGACAGCTCTTAAATAGTAAAGCAGTGGCCCGGCCCCCTTGTGATGTCATTGACTGGGGTATTGGCATGTTCTAAGTAGCGACCTGAAACTGACAGGTATATTTAAAGAGCCCCCTTTGTTTGCACATAAAAGATCACAAAACATTAGATACAGAATGGTTCATGCTGCCTTTTGCAATGATCCGCCAAGCTCAGGTGCTAACGCACCTATCAAACACCATGGGGTACTGTTCTCAATGTAACTTTGTGATTAGAAAATATTTTCCACACACCCGAGAACAGGGAAAAAGTTTCCAATCAAGTTGTTTGTGAACTGCTCTTCCAAAAATGTAATATATGATGGACAAACCTCACGTGAGGTTTGGATTAGATTTGGAAAGCACAGAAGCAAAGTGAAGAGGGGCGACCCTACCTTTCCAGTAGCACGCCATTTCTGGAATGCAAATCACAACAGCTCACAATTATGGTTCACTGTGATTGAGGAAGTCAACTGTCCACCAGCAGAGGGAGACTTGGCTAGGCTGTTAATCCAGAGGCATTATATTGTATTTATAAAATGGACACGCTATACCTTAAGGGTATGAAGAATGTGACCTTACAGTATTTCCTTGATATGATCTGGTTCCATTTTGTTGGCCATACACTGTACAATCAGATTGGATGGACTCCTTAAGATCCAATGGTTACTAATTGGTACTCCTACTTTCCTAATTAGTTGGTAATTGTGAGTATTGCACAGGTCCCTTTACATTTTATACTACATAAACCTATTGGATTGTGCAGAGACTGTATAATTTATGGTCAGCTATAGAGGTTTTCTCTCTGTGTATATGTATTGTTTACTGTTTTCTTATTCTATATATATATTTTGTATTAAATATGTGTAGATTGTCTTAGTTTCCATGCATACTAGCATTTTTTTTTAAGCTCCTAAAAGCTTTTATCAGCATATTTTTTTTTTTGCTCCTAGAAGCTAAAGTGTTATCCTATGTGTCCATGCACACTACTTTAGCATGTTTTGAGCTTCAGCATCTAGGAGCAGATAAAAAATTGTTTCTGTAGTTTTTGGAGCGTTTTCCCAGCAGAAAAAAAGCACTGAACGCTACTAAAATGCTCCTAACAGCTTTTTTTTCTAGCTATTTAATGTTTTTCCTCTACATGTACTGTAAAACCGCTAATGCTCCTAAACACTTCTGAACGCAACTAAAATTCTACTGAAGAACGCTATTACCAGTGTTTTTGAGCTTAAGAAAAAAAAACCGCTAGTGTGCATGGAGCCTTAAAGTGGGTGAACATTGCTGCTTTTTTCTTAACATATTTTACGTTACTTTTCTTTATTAGTTATTCTGTTTATCTTTTGTAAGCTGCCCCCTGAAACTTCCCCATCAGAGTTTTTGCTAAGCATTATCTGTACCGCATTACATGCATCTTTATTTTTTTATTTCTGTTGTGCTTAGACAGACTAGGTTTCACTCCGCCCCGTGCAGGCTTGCTCTATCAGAAGCTATTAGACCCCAAATTTCTCCTATGGCCTCCAATGCAGCTGATCAGACACAGATCAGTCTGATATGCTGCTTAAGCTAAACAGAGAGGCGAAACCAGCAGTGTCAAAATCTCATTGTTTCCAGTTCCCGGGGACACCAAGAAGGAGGAACAATGTCAGTTCCTCTCTCTCTGTTTTGTGCAGCCGTTGCCGCTGGTCAAAGCGCTCCCGGGCGCCGTGAGCAGACGGGGGAGCCTGGGAGAGGGGGAGGTGGTGGCGAGAGGGATCATTTCTGAAGAAAAAGGAATTGCCAGCTGAAAATTTTAATACCAAGATGATGCTTGTGCCTACAGGAATCATCCCAATATAACCACTGCAACCGAGGACGTCATACGACAGCCTACGGTTGGCAAGTGGTTAAAGAAAAACTTCACTCTCTCAGCCAACATTGACTATTTTTAATCCTTATGCAGGCCATACATGGGTCAGATTCTGAACGATTTTTTGATTGGAAATCAAAAATTGAGTGTATTTTGTAATCTGATGGTGCCACCATTGATTTTGAAATTCAACCAAGCAAACCTTCAATTTCACCCCATGTTGTTATGGAAAAGAAATTTTGTGGCTGGGAATCTTTTCTTACAGGTAACAGCTCATGTGCATTTCTTTTTTGATTATATTTCTTGTGCGATTCTCCCATCATTGATTATACATTTGTCTTTCAAAATATTTTCAACATGCCCAATCACTCAAGTTTGATGGCCGCACAAAAATGGGCCGTTACTGCGTCCCCACTAATGGTCAAAATTCGAACAATAATACAAAATCGAGATTTTTGAAGAAAATATTTTGAAATTAGACCCATGTATGGCTGGCCTTTTGCTGCAAGCAATAGTAAATAGAGAGGAAAGTATATCATATTAATTTGTTTTTAAACTTGATTCCACATTTCTTCAGTTACTTCCAAGTTGCCAGGTCTAGGCAAATGTCAAACATCCCAGGAGTCTTCAGGAGGGGAGGAGGCTTTTTTACCAGCTAAGCACACCCTCCTGCCTGCACGCTTGAGCTAACAGCAAATGGATTTCTGCCCTTACCCAAGTCATCAGCCCTTATTCAAAATGGCTATGCCAAGAAACGCTAGAGGGGTGTTTTTCAAAGTGATTTCTCAAAAGAAAGCGTGGAGACAAGGATAGATCGGCGAGTTTGCTTTGAATATTAAAAATTAATGAAATAGCATTTTTGGTTTGTAGTCCTCAGATACACTGATGCTAGTCAAGACAAATAGCATCTTCGGATGGAGGACAGAAATGGAAACCTATACCTCACTCTCAATACAGGTTTCTTTTCTGTATATT